CTTGTCCCCTTGCATCACACCTGCTGATTGCAGCTTGAGCACAACAGTACGTACACGTTTTCTGGAAATGCCGTGTATAGACAGAAAACCAGCAGCACACACTTTATACTCAACTTCATCACTCCTTACTGAATATTGAATGGTTTGCGTACGCCTCGACTGCTTGCCTGGCTCCACACGTGATCGCTGCACATTAACACTATGAACAAGCCGAGCTATATATTCATTTTGCTTTTCATAATTTCCCAGTTGCCAGAAATCCTTAAAAATAGTTTTCACCTTATCACCAAGGCGGGACATACAACCACATTTACACAGTGGTCCAATAGATCTAGCTGGCATAATTTTGCCTGTGTTAGCACTAACATAAGATACACCAGTATTGCGTTTCTTCTTGGCAACCTCATATTTCCATGTATCTGGGCGTCTTACACGATTGCTTGACCTTCCACGGTCTTTGGTTGACCTCCTCGACTCGCCAGAATCACTCATGACTCCTGTCACACAACAAAGGCGCAAAAAACCCCTGGGAATGTGACTGAGGCTTCCCGGCCGCCCCTCAGTCGATGTATTGCGCCCATTGGCTGGATCCGCGGGGGTGCGGACCTGTGATTGGCCAGAGTTAGGCCCTGTCTATTCTGAGATTCTGATTCCAGGCCAGCGGACGGCGGGCCTCAGGTGGGCGTAGTGATGGGTATTCCCTCCACCCTTAAACCAGAGGCTTAAATCCAAAGCAAACACTATAGACAGGAAGATTGAAGAGCGCATGCAATCCCTTCAAAATAATCGTGTTGTCCAGAGTGCTGCCATCTATCGGTGGGCGCACTAACGTTCGATGTAAACAACACAGAAATAGCTATTTGTTACTTCACATGATTCTTATTCATATTTATTTAAACTATTTTTCCAACTGCAACAATTTCCCGTAATCCAAGCTTATTCATTTAATTCTAAATCCCAACAGCGTAAACAACGTAAATGTACAAAGTATATAATAATTTAATTAATTACTGTGACAAGTCGGTATCAATTCCTACGTTTTCTTGAGCATATCTGTAATGTGCGTTTACCCGTCCCAAACGCTCAGGGTGAACGGTTTCGCCGCACAATGCACCTATCAGCTGATTATTGTAAACAAAAGCCTTCCACGGCGGACAACGCAGAGACTCGTCGAGATTATTTACTTTACTGATTAAGAACGTGATGAAGGTTTACAACTCATGTAGACGACTTCTTTAACTTATATTAGTGACTAACAAAGATAGAAAGGTAAAATGAAACATGGGTTACAGCTCGGACAGATATACTTTAGACATTAGTTAGTGGCTATTGGAAAGATATACTTTGGACTCTTTAGTTAGTGGCTATTTTGGTTCTAAATAAACGGGCCGCGATGCGAAGCGAACTACCACCAACCCTAGCCCAGCTTCGCGACGCAATGCCTGGCTAAACGTCTTGTCAGGTTGATTATTTACACGACCACCACGCAACGCTCGGTACATTTTAATCATGTGAACGCAGGGAATAAAAATGCGAACGACTTTTATTTCCCCACGCCAAAGTAAAGAATGTTACTCAAATTAACAAAGGGATAAACGGAAATATAAACTAAATAATTATCTTGTTAATAGATGAACAAAGAAAAAAAAAGTAAAAATCGAAAATGAAAAAGAAAATATAAAGATATGGAAAAAAAAGAGAAAAGAAAAACATGCATGTGAGCATAATAATGACTAGTAAGTTCACATGAAAATTAGAGAGAAATAACAGCTTAATAAAATAATAAAACCACACAAAAATGCTCTCATTTTGCAATTGCAATGCAACCAAAGGCATTAAAAATCAATACAACCACAAACTGAGAATACAATGCTAATAGAAAACCATATATCATCATTTAAGTAATAATCATATTTGTAGTTTATCTGCAAAACATTAGATGACTTTAAAACACAGCATAAGCTTTATGACTTTTAAACACAATGCTTGTAAAACTTTGGCCTTTAAGTTCTTAAATTCACTTTGCAAAATATTGCCATACCTTTAAACAATCTATTATTAACTTGCTTTAATGAAAGAGCTAGGCCTACTGCCTTGAACCGCTATCCTTTAGGTGCAACTATACATCATAGTACCTGACCTCATGAGGTTCTCTTCTAAGATTATTTTGCATTCAGAACAGCCCTGTAAACATACCCAGTAAAGTATGAGATTACATTATCCTCCAACCCATTTTACAGGATAGAAAAATCTGATTCAAATTTATGGTATAAAATGTCGTTTTACATCTATCTAATGAAAGATGGTCTACTAACACTGTAACAAATTGGTTTTCTATATCTTCCCCTTCATTTATGCATTCTTAAAAATGTTGCATGGTAAATCACATTTCCTGCAAAGATCCTGTGTACCTTTTTTACAAGTCTGCTAATTATAGACCTATATTTATTTTTGTTACACCAGCTCTTTTTAAATATTAAGTTTCATGTTGCCTCTGGCCCTTGCTTGCATGTGATCTATAGTAATAAGTAAAAAAAAATGTTTTTTAATAGTTCAATGAAAACACACACATACACAACAAAAACCTTCCTAATCCAGGGTCTTCACCCCCAGACTCCCTCCCTATTGCTGTATTTCCCTGCCAGGAAATTCACCCTTCTCTATTGCCATGATCTTAACAGTGCAGCATTTGTCATGACATATTCTCTTCCTTTCTGTTATATTATCTTTCATAAATTATTTCATTCATTTAGAAAAGTATTTTCTATGGCTCCTCTTAAGCTATATCTGGACCTAAACAGATAATTTCGAACAAGATCTTCAACAATGTTGACAGGATTTGGTTCATCTGTGGAAGCTTAGGAATTACTATCAATGTCATTTTAACACCTTGGGGGATATAAAATGGATTCCCTGACTAGTTGCTGATCTGACCCCAGGTGACCTTTCATTACCAATACTAAAGCTAAAGAAACTAAAATAGCTGCAAGAAAGGATCTCTGAGATAATAAGCTAATAAGAGCAAGGTTAATAGCAATAATAGTAGTAATAACAAAATCAATATCAATTATTACCATCATTATGAACAGAAAGATAATATTATTGATAATAAAGGTAATAATACTTATAACAATATAATTTATGATATTGATAGTGATGATGACAATTACAACAATAATAATATGAAAGTTAATGATAAAAATAATAGTAATGATAGTAATCATGATAATAATGAAAATGCTTACTGATCTGACCCACGTGATCTTGCATGGTATCTACTCAGGTGCTGATCTGACCCCTGGTGACTTACTTAGGTCTAAAGCTAAAAAACTAACATTGCTGCTAAAAGAATGATTCAAAGAATAATCTGATAATGTGTGATAGTAATAGTTATCTTAACAGTAATAGTAATAGATGGAAATATTAATGATGATAATAGTAATGATCATGGTAATTATAATTATTTAAATTGATAGTAATAAAAATAACAATAACAATTATAGTAATGATAATAATAGTAATAATGATAATAGTAATAATAATAATAATAGTAATAATACTCATTTATGAAATTGATGATAATAAATATAAAAATAATAATGATGTTTATAACAACAATAATGATATCATTATCATCATCATAATTATCATTACTATATTTACTAGTGCTGTTATTATCATCATTATGGTTATCATTATGATTATTATTATTATTTTTATTTTTTTAGTGTTATGCTATTCTATACAAAAACCTAATGTGCATTAGTGCTTTCTGCAGGGTCTTTCGAGACATCGTGAACTACTCGTGTGTGTGTGTGTACATATATGTATATGTAATATATATATATATTTATATATCTATATCTTTATCTATATTCATATTCATATATAAATCAACATTCCTCAACAAAACACCAGGAAGGAATGTCTCCTTTTCAGTGTTGCGTCTATTCAGGATATATAGTGGCTATGCAGAAGAAATAGACCTTAATAACTCTCACAGCTTGATATGTACACCCGTGCTCTAAAGTGTCGGGAAAAGTGATTAGAAACCAAGCCATCCCTGTCATAGCCAGAAGTGAAGGAAAGTTGTGTTTTGAAATTTAATGGTATTTAGTTTATTCTTTAAGGTATGTATGTAACTCTATCTTGCTGTGCATACTGAGGTAAAGAGAATGTTTCCTGGGGTGGTGTTTGGGGGTAGAGCCTCCCATCAACCCTCCCCTTAGGCAGTGCCCAAAGGGAACGCCTAGTCACAGCAAATTAGATTAATAAATAACGTTTGAGACATGGAATTAGGCTGCATTATTGGTTAGGACTATTGGGTGGTGTAAAAACCCATAGAATTTACCGAATGGAGGGTTGGATTCCAGTAGTTTTTGAAAGTTGGTGTGTCGGTCCATACACTTTCAATGGTGGCAGACACATCCGTAGTGTTTCATTAGCTGATTTTAAGCATTTTTTAAGTTGGGTTTATGCATTTCTGTTATCAATTTTAATTTCCGTTTCTTTTACACTGTAATTTCCCGGATATACTTTATGCCCTCCCATGCTACTGGGACTTATCACATCAAGATTCTCAGCTGTGATTACTACGGAAATTATCATCAGATTCATCCTTGTCACATGAGAATAAATCTGATGGTATAAATATTGTCTGGGAAGTCCCAAATGTCATAAATATTAAAATAACCATAATTTCTATCATAATAGTTACCTTTTACTTTTGGCTTATTTTTCGATGGTATAGCATCCTTCTTCAGGTTTCTCCTATGTCGAGGAACTGGCAAACCTAGTATTTCATATTTTAGCCTTCTTTCGTAGTCTGTTTCCTTAAAATGGACACTGCAAATTCTCTCAAATTTAAAGTTTACCTTTTTCTTTCCAGAGAAAATTACCCACTCTTCTCTTATTCCCTCCTCCTTTGGAAATCGGTGATAAAGTGCATCCTTGGGGCGGTCCCCAAGTCTGCAACCAACCACCGAACATCCACTGGGCATTGTGGCTTAGCGCGCTTGTAGGCCAATCGAGCGAAAACAGGAGAAAGAGGGGGATCCTAAGATAGACTTTCTTCCCACACTTAAATCCGAGGCATAAATCCCAAAGTGAACACTGTAGAGAGGAAGACAGGAGATCGCATGTCCATTCCTTCCCAATCGGGGTGCTGCCATCTATCGGTGGGCGCAGTAACGTTCGATGTAAACAACCCGGGAATGATTATTTCCGGGTTACTCATTGGTTTCGTATGATTCCAATTCGTATTTATTCAAACTATTTATACGTTTTCAACCATTTCCGTTTATTTCTTTAATTCTATATTTAACTGCGTAAACAACGCAAATGTACATAGTATATAATAATTTAGTTAATTGTAGTGTAAGTCGGTATCAACAAAAAAGCGAAATAATATTCATCCTCATCAAAGAAAAGTGTGTATACTCAAATTTACAAAGGAATGAGGAAATATTTACCAACTAATTGCCCATACAAAAAAAAGAAAAAAAAAAGTGAAAAAAGATAAATAAAAGGAAAAAATAGAAGAGAAAGAGGAAAAACACATGTAAGCATAATGATTGTAGAGAATAGAATGTAAAATCAAATATTTAACTAGTAGCACTCTGTTTGCATGCAAAATTAGAGAAAAATAACAGCAGAATAAAAGAATATTATTCCCCATACATACAGTATAAAAAAAGAAAAGAAAAAAATGCTAACTCATTTTGCAACTGCAATGCAACCAAAGGCATTATAAAATCAACATAACCACAAACTGAGAATGCATTGCTAATGTAATAACTAACATATTATTCGGATATCCTTTAAGTAATCATTATATACATAGGTAATCTGTAAAAGATTGGATGACTTTAAAATTAAACTCAAGAAATTTGTTTGCTTTCTCAAACGACATCCATACAAGCCCTTGCCACCGTAGAGAGCTAGACTTCTGCTTGCTAAAACAAGTGGTGTACCGTCACCATAAATAAATTTAAACTAATTGAAAAATGAAAGGTAATGGAGATGATGGGAATTATTATTTTTTTTTTTTATAAATCATAAATTTTTATAAGACGAACATTCTATCTCTTACTTTCAAACTCCTTGTCTCTCTAAATCAAAAATATATCTACAATTCTAAGATTAGAGAATATTTCAAGTGAAAAAAGTCTGAGAAATCATAGCAACATTCATCTGTTGATATTGTATTTGGTGACTGTTATATTTAACTTCATAAAATTGTATGTATGGGAATGGTTAGGCCTATATTTTAATTCAGTGATGTTCATTTGTTTTGATAGCTGTCAGAGTGTAAGAGTTGCCCATCGGAAGTGTGTCACTGTTTTAGAGGCACTTCATATGAATATAGGAGAAAATATTGAACTTTGTTAAGATGTTTGGGTAGATTTATTTACTTCTTTGCCATCTTCATGTGGCACTAGCTTGTCAGCTGTTTTGAAATGCACGGTCAAACTGTTACCAATCGCTAATGAAATAAACTCCACCCTCAACTGAGGCATAAGTTATCTGTCTCCGAGATTGTAGGTGGAAATACTTGTCTATTGCTTTTGAAACCCAAGTATGTATATGTCGTGTGTTATTTTGGCATTTCTATGCTCTGCAAGGACTGTTATGATTTGTACTTTATAAAAAGACACTTCCATATGTCTGGCATCACTGAAAAGGGCTTGTCTGCCTTGGAAAATGACTTAAGGAAATATACTAGACATAAATATCAATACCATGAAGATTATTTGTTTCGGAACATCAAATTTTCCATTTTCTCTTCCCTCTCAGGTCTGGATTCCTAAATTTTGTTTAATAAAATTATGAAAAATTTGAAACAGATATGAACTTCTTTCCAAGCATTATTACAAGTATCATAATGATATATACTTATATTATCCAATTTATTACATAATGCTTGTAAAACTTTGGCCTTTAAAGTTTAAGTGAAATACTGTCATATCTCTTTAATAACTCTATCATTAACTTCTTTTGATGAAAGAGATAGGCCTACTGCCTTGAACCGCTATCCTTTTGGTGCAATAATACATCATAGTACCTGACCTCATAAGGTTCTCTTCTGCTATTAAAACCTAACACTGTTTCAAACTCTTGCCTTTTCAGAACAGCCCTGTAAAAATACCCTGCAATGTATGAGGCTACATTATCCTCCAAACCATTTTACAGGATAGAAACATCTGATTCAGAATTTGTGTGTAAAAAATGTTGTTTTACGGATGCAATTTTAATAATGTTGATGGAAAATCACATTTCCTGCAAGGATCCGGAATACTGTGTACCTTTATTACAAGTCTAATTGTGGATGTATTTGTTTTTGGTACCAAAGATTTTTTTAAAATTTTTCTTTATTATTTTTATCATTACTACTATTAGCATTATCATTATCATCATTATTATTATTATCATCATCATTACCTAATTACATTTACTATTGCTGTCATTACTATCATTGTTATTATTATTTTATTATCATTATGTAATTACATTTACTATTACTGTCATTACTACCATTGTTATTGTTGTTTTATTACTGTTATTATCATTATATTGGTAATGCTGATACTAATACTACTAATAATAGCAATAATATTAAGGTAAATTTACAGTGGATAACAATTAGGGTTATAGTAAAAAAAAATAATAATAAAATAAAAAAAAAAAAGTATTACTTTGACACAAACTAAGACACTTTTCATCTATGGCTAAAGGTGTGCAAATAAAAAATAAAGGAGATATACGAGAGAAGATAAGATCGCAAGTAACGCTATGACCACTTGACTCATTTCTGCGATCCTTTAAGTAGTCCATGTATTACTACACTTGTGAAGAAAATTATTTTGTGAATTTCAACACCTGACTTTCCTAATTCATGTATTGTATGTATTCCTTCATTTTTATTTTTTTTTTTTTTTTTTTTTTTTTTTTTTTTTTTTTTTTTTTTTTATTCTTTACAAAAACCTATCATACATATGCATTTTCCACAGGGACTTTCAAGACCTCGTGAAAGCCAATTCTTCGACAAAATGCCTGTGAGGAATGTTTCCTTTTCAGTGTTGCGTCTATTCAAGGTCCTTTGTAAAACAATATAGTGGCTATGCAGAAGAAATAGACATTAATAACTATCACAGCTTGATATGTGCACCCATGCCCTAAAGTACCGGCAAAAGTGATTCGAAACCAAGCCATCCCTATCATAGGCAGAAGCAAAGGAAGTTTAGTGTCTTGAAATATAATGGTATTTAGTTTATTCTTTAAGATATGTATGTAACTCTATCTTGCCGTGCATATTGAGGTAAAGATAATGTTTCCTGGGAAGCTGATGGGGAGCTCTCCATCAGGCAGTCGGGCACACCTAGTCACAGCAAATTAGACTGATGAGCAAAGTTTGGGAAAATTTACAGAGGATAACAATCAGGTTTGAGTAAAAAAAAAAGAAAAAAAGTATGGCATGGTTCCTTGGACGTGAAATAAGGCACTTTTCATCAATAGCATAAAGTGTGCAAATTGAAAATAAGAGAGATTCACCCATCTTTTTCTAAGTTCTTCGCCATGTTGACATCGCGAATGTAAACAAAATTATGACCACTGAACACATTCCTGCGCTCTCTCAAGTAGGTCATGTATTAATATGCATTTGTCAAAACAATATTTGGCTAATTATCAGTATCTGCTGTTCCACATTTATACTTTCAAAGGCCTTTGTTAATGTTGTTATACTTCATTTACGTGTTTCAAGATTTATTAGATAGTGATTTACGGGAATCAGTCTAAAGAACTTTCTGCGCATGCACATTTTTGCATTTCTGTTGCCAGTTTTGACAGGACCAGTGACACCGCGTCGATTGTTGTTCTAAAAGACTATACAGTGACAACGAAATAGAAAAAGACCTTAATGACTAACACTGTTTGATTTCTGAGGCCATCAAGTACCCCAAATCCCCCACAAAATTGATCAAAACGAAGCGGTCCACAATAGACCGACCGACCGGCTGAAAGAATCAAAGGAAAATTGACAGTTCGGTCTTTCAATACATAAAGGTATTTGGTTTATTATTTACAGTAAGGATGTAGCTCTATCTTGCCGTACATACCGAGGTGAAGAGAATGTATCCTGGGGGGTGTTGGGATCCTCCCCTCGGTCAGTGCCCAAAGGGCACGCCTAGTCATGGCACTTTGAATTATTAGGTTTGGTTGGGTTATGAGTCAGGATGTTTCTTTGGGTTTGGAAGGCATGAAACCCCGTAGATTTTGCCGAAAAATGGGCTGGATTCCCATAGTTTTTCAAATTTTGGTGCGTAGACTTTCAAAGGTGGCGGGCATGTCTGTAGTTTCATTAGCCAATCTATAGCATTTTTTGTGCTAGTTTTATGCATTTCTGTTTGCAATTCTTCTTATTTAAGCCTGTTTAACCCCATAATTTCCCTGCTATACTTCATGCCTTTCCCTGGTATCGGGACTTAACACATCAGGTTGTCAGCTGTGATTGCTACAGAAATGATCACGAGATTGCTTCTCATGATATAAATATTGTCTGGGAAGTCCCAATTGTCATAAATGGTAAAATAACCATAATTTCCATTATGATAGTTACCTTTTAGTTTAGGAACACGTATCGTTGGTATAGCATCATTCTTCAGGGTTCTCAAGCGTCGAGGAACTGGTAAACGTAGCATTTCATATTTCAACCTTCTTTCATAGTCTGTTTTCTTAAAATGGACACTGCAAATTCTCTCAGATTCATAGTTCACCTTCTTCTTTCCACAGAAAATTACCCACTTTTCTCTTATTCCCTCCTCCTTTGGAAATCGGTGATAAAGTACTTCTTTAGGGCGGTGCCAAATTCTGCAACCAACCACCGAACATCCACTGGGCATTGTGGCTTAGCGCGCTTGTAGGCCAATCGAGCGAAAACGGGAGAGAAAGGGAGATCCTAAGATAGACTTTCTTCCCACACTCAAATCCGAGGCATAAATCC